ATATATATATATATATATATATGCGTGAGCGGGCGGTGAGGTAGGTTGTATATACGTGCGCGTGAGGGTTTGTGCATGCATGCGTTCGTACCTGGTCTGCGCGCGTACGTGTATGCGAACTGGCGGGAGAGTTAGTGTGTGAGTCTGAATGCGTACGTGCGTGCGTGCGCGCGCGCGTGTGTATATCTATGCGTATTTGTGAGTGCGTTCGAGCGTTGGCGTTCTTTTATCCACATGAATGCTATAATGATCTTCGCGACAAATGCTTTCGCTTCATGAATTCGACGGTTTATTCATTTGCGTGAATAGAATATTGCAAAGTATGGCACATCATTTCGCAAATTACTATCATAATGATCGGCGCATTGCAGAAGAGGCATTCGGCATGTTTGCTCATTCGTGCAAAGCAAACACAGGCGGACGGGGAATGATGTTCATGGAGGTAGAAATCATTGATTCAGAAGGGTGAGTTGAGCTGCGCGCCTATTCAATTGCTTTACACGGTCCGCATCATTGGCGAATTGTATAGTAGTGCAGCGTGATTATCACCTCGTTTTAGCTATAGCTTCTGTAGCATGACTACGTATCAAGTAAAGTGCATGACTTCTGTTGTGTGGCAGTCGGTAGGTCGTTCATGTCTTCGCGCTACTGTACAAGTGTACGACTCGCATGCAGCCAACCTGTAACGTGAGTTCTATACGATATATTGATGGCTCCATGTGAACCTCGTTAATTTACCTGTCCCTCTATCCGGCAGGTGCCCAACGGATCCGGCTGTGTTTCCCGGATTGCAACCGGATGGAAATCGATTGATATCCGATTTCAAAATGTTCAAGTTCGCTACAAGCTCGGTTGTGTTCTTCAACTGCCAAATTAGATTCTGCAAAGGACCCTGCCCACCGGTTAGTGTTGTGTTTCAGAAACTGTCATACAGATGTCATAAATACTATCAATTGCATTAAATTTGCATGAACATGACTGCTTAACTTGTTCATCTATTCACATCATTATATATTATGCTAATTTAGTTATCGTAGTTACTATAAATTATTATCAATTAGTTATTATATTTACAATCAATATAACGGTGTTTATTTTGCAAAGGGGAATTAAGCTCTGCACAATAGGACGCGATAATAAATAAACAAAAATATTATTATTCATGATGGATTCCTAAACTATAGTTTAGACAAATTCCGTTGATCGATTTGCTGCATTTATGTATGCGTATCAAGATCATTCTATTATCATCCATTTCCAATATCATCTATTTCCATTTTCTATTATAGGCTTTTGATGCGTATGATACCTAGTGATGGTATTAGTATCTACATGCTTATCAATGCTGCATACTAATTACTGTTCAATTATTTAATTCGCGTTGTTGAGCGCCTCATCACTGATAACATCCAAATATTTTCGCGCTGAAATCAAGGGACAGGTTTTTGGTTGGGTCAGCGTGGGAGAAGACAAAGAACAACTTGAAAAAAAAATTGATATAATACTATACGCTATTATTAACATGATAGCGTGATGACCGTGTGCATATAGGCACAAGACGGTGTAAGTTTGCTAGATTCCACTTATATATAACTATATAATTTACGATGGAGCTGATTCCATCGCCACCCCTGCCTGCACGCAAAACGCCCCACCCCGCCACCCTGCACGCAAAACGCCCCACCCCGCCACCCTGCACGCAAAACGCCCCACCCCGCCACCCTGCACGCTTCCCTTGGCGCCATCGCTAACCTAGAATGCTTCGGTAAAATAACAGGACGAGCTGTTGTGTTATCCCTATACTAACCAGCGTAGCGGACGTCCGCCTGACCGCACAAATCCGCATCATTTTTGAAATTATTGCCGGCCAGTTATTTCTCTCACCGCCCAGTGTGTGCTTTTGTGTGTGCGCGCGCGCGCGCGCGCGC